CTCTCTCTCTCTCTCTCTCTCTCTCTCTCTCTCTCTCTCCATCTCTCCCTCTCTCTCTATCTCTCTAATCTCTTTATCTTTCCCTCTCTCTCCTCCTGCTGCCTCTCTCTCGCTCTCTCGCGCACTCTCTCTATTTACCTATAACTGCGTGTTAGTTCGGATTACCGCAGTATTTGTGAGGGCGTAGTCGTCGCCGCTGCGCACATATCGAACGCGCGCGCGCGCCGGTAAACCACGATAGCAATATAACAACATACAAATATAACACGATAGAAATATAACAACATACAAATANAAACATATAAATAGAACACGATAGAAATATAAAAATATATATAAAATAACACGATAGAAATATAACAATATATAAATAGAACACGATAGAAATATAAAAACATATAAATAGAACACGATAGAAATATAACAATATATATAAAATAACACGATAGAAATATAACAATATATAAATAGAACACGATAGAAATATAACAACATATAAATAGAACACGATAGAAATATAACAATATATAAATAGAACACGCTAGAAATATTACAATATATAAATAGAACACGATAGAAATATAACAACATATAAATAGAACACGATAGAAATATAACAATATATAAATAGAACACGATAGAAATATAACAGCATATAAATATAACGATAGAAATATAACAATATATAAATAATAAATATAACACGAAAGAAATATAACGAAATATTAACGCGTATGCACCTTACACCGACTTATTACGACCTTACACCGACTATATACACATCTGCTAAACCGAACTCGGAAGCTTACAGCGTTCGAAAGCCGACCGACCGACCGGACCGAGCGAGCGAGACATGGCGAGCGAGCGAGAAAGCGGCTGGACGCCATTACTGCACGTGAACTTGCCAGCGGACGTTGACTACGGCAGCAGCAGCAGTAGTAGCAGCAGCAGCAGTACAGCAGCAGCAGCAGTAACAGCAGCAGCAGCAGTACAGCAACAGCAGCAGGCAGGAGGCAGCACAGGGCAGCAGCCAGCAGAGTACAGGCAGCTAGGCCAAGGCAGCAGTGGCAGCAGTAACAGCGGTAGCAGCAGCAGCAGTCAATAGCAAGCAGATAGCAGCAGCAGGCAGTAACAGCGTAGCAGACAGCAAGCAGGGCATAGCAGTAGCAGCAGCAGCAGCAGTAGCCAACAGCAGGTAAGCAGGCATGCAGCAGGGCAGATAACAACACAGCATAGCAGTAGCGATGCAGCAGCAAGCAAGCTAGTAGCCACGCAGCAACAGCAGTAGCAAGCAGTAGCAAAGCTTGTCCATTCGATTTTATTCACAATGACGACTAGCATCATTCACATACGGAGCCGGCTTGACTAATGCAGAAAAGCAGCTGCGGCACTTACGGCCTCGCTCTCAACACATCGCCCGCCGCCAACCGGACACGGCGGCAGAGCACTTACACGAGAGTAATAGAAACGGGTGTAGAAGAGAGCCGCAGAAAGATAACACCTACGGCAGTAAGACGGTATTGGTTGGGGAAGACAGTAACTAACTGAAGGAAGCAACTACTGAATGGCGACAGTACTGATACAGAACTACTGAAGGCACAACTACTGAAGACAGAACTACTGAAGACACAACTACTGAAGACAGAACTACTGAAGAAAGAACTACTGAATACAGAACTACTGAAGGCAGAACTACTGAAGACAGAACTACTGAAGGCACAGTTACTGAAGGCAAAACTACTGAAGACAGAACTACTGAAGACAGAACTACTGGCGGTGTACGTAAATATGGGGGGAGGGGGGCAGAACAAAGAAACTGAAGAAACGCAGATTTCGTTACTAGAGATCTGTAAGACCTAAAGACCCGTTCTATACCCAGAGAAACGCATAGTCGCGTGTACACATAGATGCGCTCGCTCATCTATCTCTCACACGGATAAACGTTGAACGTTTACACATTCAGAGAGACTTGGTACACTTACATGTATTTTACATGCAGAAGTTACACTTGCATACGGAGACATGAAACACTACACCGACACACACACGACACACTCGGACACGGAACAACTGCATACGGAACACTCACACACTTGGACACGGAACATCTGCATACGGAATACTCACACACTTGGACACGGAACATCTGCATACGGAATACTCACACACTTGGACACGGAACATCTGCACACGGAACACACACTTGGACACGGAACACCTGCATACGGAACACTCACACACTTGGACACGAAATATCTGCACACGGAACACACACTTGGACACGGAACACCTGCATACGGAACACTTACGTGACGACGCAATGAACACTTGCAGGCCGACGCATATACAACGCTTGTGTCCCAACACGTGAAACACTTGCATCTAGACTTACGATGATAACATATAGATTCTGCTAGAGTCTAAGTACAAGGTCAGCACTGTGTGATGAATGCTTCCAACTCTACGGGCTTCCAACATATATACGAACGCACGTGGCCAATGACACTCGATACACTTATGTAGCACGAAAACACACACAAGCGCGCACGTACGTACGGACGCGCGCCCACACACTCATACACTTGTACACGCCGCCGAACTACCACACTTATCTGACATACTTTACTGCGCACTAGAGGCGGCCTGGTCGGTGGGGACGGTCACACCACATGGCGTGTGTGTGTCTGCCGTGGCCTACACCGTGGCCGCTTTATATCTGACAACTCGCAGGCCACATATAACCTACTTCTCTAGCTGCAGTGGCTATTATTAATCTCTAGCTCTGGACGTGCATGCCAGAAATGTACACTGCGCTGTCCAAATATTCATTTCCGGGTCATTGGGAGAGCTGCGGTATTGAGTATCAATGCCGGGGAGAAGGGCAGTAGGAGAGAGCCTGGAAAGAAAAAGGATGAGCTCAGAGAGAAATATACCAGAGGAGGCCAGGAAAGTAAGGAAGCGAGAGAAAGAGAGAGGGAGATATGTGAAGAGAGAGGGAGAGAGAGAGAAAGAGAGAGAGAGAGAGAGAGAGAGAGAGAGAGAGAGAGGAGGAGAGAGAGAGAGAGAGAGAGAGAGAGAGAGAGAGAGAGAGA